AGAGTCGTAGGTCTTGAGGGTTTTAGGTTTTAGGGCTTTAGGGTTTTAGAGTTCCGGGGCTCGATAGCAAGAGATGACGGCCCCGGCTCGACTGTGAAGGAGGCGAAAACCGCTGTGTTTGTGCGAGCTTAGGGTTCAGGGCTTTCGGGTTCTTTTCTTAGGACTATAGGGGTTTAAGGTTTAGGGCTTTAGGGCTTTAGGGTTTAGGACCCTGAACCCTAAACCGTAAACCCTAAACCCTAAACTTTAAACCCTAAACCCTAAACCCTAAACCCTAAACCCTAAACCCTAAACCCTAAACCCTAAACCCCTAAACCCCTAAACCCCTAAACCCCTAAACCCCTAAACCCCTAAACCCCTAAACCCCTAAACCCCTAAACCCCTAAACCCTAAACCTAAACCCTCCAAAACCCGAACCGCCACAGCCGGCCTTTGGGTGGTTTGGTAGGCTGCAGCCTTGCTGACCTCTTGAGAGAAGCTGGTCTGAAGCCCGGTGCGAAGCAGGCGCACCTTGGAGGTTCAGGGTACTTTATAACCCCAATTATAAGTAGGGGTTTAGGGTTTAGGGTTTAGGGTTTAGGGTTTAGGGTACTTCTAACCCAATTACAAGTGTAGGTAGAATCCACTTGTAGGTATGATCCACTTCTAAGCAACTTGAGTACCCCGATAGGGTTGTATTTGGGTTATAAGTACAGGCAGAATTGGAGTACTAAGTACCATGAACCTCCAAGCAGGGCTTGGTGCAGCCCAGGAGGTAATATAGGGGTCGGAAGCACTACTACTAGCATTCCCTTGCATGGTCCCTTTCTACTGAATGCTATAATCGCACCCCCCAAAACCATTATTAAGGCCCCTATGGCAGGATGGTTTAGATTCAGAGCTTTGGGGTTTAAGTTTCGATAGGGTGGGTGTAGGCTTCGGCTCTAAGCCCCTTGCAGGGGTTCATAAACCCTAAACCCTAAACCCTAAACCCTAAACCCTAAACCCTAAACCCTAAACCCTAAACCCTAAACCCTAAACCCTAAACCCTAAACCTTAGGGTTTTTGGGGATCGCAGTGGAGGGGTATAAGGAGGGACCTTGGAAGGGACACTTAGTCCTATTCCCTCTTTTCTTTCCCGTATATGTGCCTTATAAAGGCCCTATATACCTAAGTCGCCCCGAAAAAGCCCCTAAATAATCCCCTAAGTACTAAGGCTCTAGTCCCGTGACAGCAGGGCCCATGGCGCTTGCAGAACGTTTTGGGTTGCAGCGGTGTGCAGCTTAAGGTTAGCTTAGACCAGGCCCTAAAATCCTAAACCCTGTGCCCCGTAAAAGCCCCCTAAGCCCCCCGATCCCTAAACCCTAAACCCTAACCCTAAGCCCTAAACGCTAATCCTAAACCCTAAACCCTAAATCCCTAAAGCCTAATCCTAAAACCCTAAACCCTAAACCCTAAACAACCCTAAGCCCTAAGCCCTAAATCCAAAAACCCCAACCCCCTTTGAGACGTGGGGCAACTGACAGGTCATCTTCACTGGTGCGGACAAGGGTGTGGAGGCTGGCAAGGTGCAGCGATTTAGGGTTTAGGGTTTAGGGTTTAGCTTTGGGGAGCCCACTGGGCGACACAAGGCAAGCGCAACTTGTGTGACTTCTCTGTGTAGGTTTACACGAAACTGGCCCCAAACCCTTGCTAAGGAGTGGCAGTTAAATTCGAGCCGACACTCTAAGCACGCTTACTTCAAACTCCAAACTCTACACCCTGAACCCTACCACAACCACCCCGCCCCCCCTTAACTTTAAGTAAGGCTTTCGGCGGATTCGGGTTTAAGTTTCAGGGTTCAGGGTTTGAACCTGGGCTCACATGGGTTTTGGAGACAAGCCAACCCGCAGGTGCAGTACTTCCAGCGCTCCCTTTCTGTTGAGGATGCCCTCCTGGGCCACGTGATGCTGGTTTACGGACTCTGGGCAGCGCTCTTATGGGGGGCGGGGATGCCCTAAAGCCTAAAGCCTAAAGCCTAAAGCCTAAAGCCTAAAGCCTAAAGCCTAAAGCCTAAAGCCTAAAGCCTAAAGCCTAAACCCCAAAACCCTAAACCCGAAACCCGAAACCCTGAACCCGAAACCGGAAAACCGGAAAACCCAAACCCCTAAACCCCTCATGCCCCAGAGCCCTCGAGCGTCATCCAGGAATGAACGGCGAAGACCTCAAGCCGGCGCATGGCGCGCCCTTGCGCATCATTGCCCCCTGGCCGCTCTCGAGTAGGTGCTGCGGGTTCAGGGTTCACAGGGTTTAGGGTTTCGGGGTTTTGGGGTTTATATAGGGTTCAGAGATAAACTAGGGTTTAAGGTTTTGGGCTTGGAAGGGTTTGGGGTTTAGGGTTGCGTGCCCAGAAAACCCCCAAAGGCAAGCGCCAACAACCACGCACTCTCAACCCGACAGGAGGGAACCAACACCCGATGAAGACAAATCCCCACAAAAGAGCTTGCAGAACCAGGAAGCAGCCCCAAACCCTTAAAACCCAAATCTCTGAACGCGAAACGCCTAAAGCCGAAACCCTAAAGCCCTAAGCTTTAAACCCCCGAAGCCCCAAACCCCTAGCCCCCCTAAACCCTAACCCTAAACCCTAAACCCTAAACCCTAAACCCTAAACCCTAAACCCTAAACCCTCAGCCCTAAACCCTAAACCCTAAACCCTAACCCCTCAACCCTAAACCCCAATCCCCAAACCCTAAACCCTCAGGTACCGGGCTGGTACGGCATGGCCTCCGTGAAGTGGCTGAGCCTGGGGCTTTTGCTGGCTCTAGGGTTGCTGGGTTTAGGGTTTAGGGTTCAGGGTTCAGGGTTTAGGGTTCAGGGTTCAGGGTTCAGGGTTTAGGGTTGAGGGTTTATGGCGTTTAGTGGCTTTAGGGGTTATAGGTTTTTTTTGGGTTTTATGTTGGGTTTTTAGGTCTTTTAATTAGGGGTTTTAGGGCTTTTAGGGCTTTAGGAGTTCTTCAGGGGTTTTAGGGTTTTTTAGGGGTTTTAGGGTCTTTAGGGGGGGGCTTTAGAGGTTTTAGGGGCTTTCGGGGTTTTCGGCCTTTAGGGTTTTAAGGAATTTCGGGTTTAGGGCTTTATGGGCCATAGGGTTTTAGGGTTCTAGGTTTGTTTGATTTAGGTTCTAGGGCTTCTAGGTGTTGAAGGTGTCAAGGTTAAAAAAAGGTTCAGGGGTTTACAGGCTTAGGTTTTTTTGGGGATTTGGGGCCAAGTTTCGAGGAGTGTTTTGGGGATCTTGCTTAACCCCTAAACCATTACAACCCTCAACCCGAAACCCTCGTGGTCTAGGTTCAGAACTAACGGGACGATGCACAGGGGTTTAGGATTTACGAGCTTCGGTTTTAACTACTTTAGAGGGTATTTGGGGTCGCCTAAACACCTAAGCACCCTAGACCCAAAACCCTAAACCCTAAACCCTAAACCCCAAACCCTAAACCCTGAACCCTAAACCCTAAACCCTAAACCCCAAACCCCAAACCCTAAACCCTAAACCTCTGTCCCATTCTGGAGTGCTAGGAGCTCTCTGAAGTCCCAAAGGTTGAGCCAACGCCCCTCCAGAAAACTCAGCCGGCACATGAGAAGTTTGCGATCTCAGGCGTCCTTTCTTGTGAATGCTTAGGTGCATGTTGGGCTCTTCTATGGGGTTTAGGGGTTTGCGGTGCGTTCTCTGAGATCTTTGGGGTTTTTGCTATTGGAATCCCAGCCAGCCCTTGAAACCCAGAAGCCGGAGCCACTAAACCCTGAACCCTGAACCCTGAACCCTGAACCCTGAACCCTGAACAGTGAACCCTAAACCCTAAACCCTAAACCCTAAACCCTAAACCCTAGACCCAGGACGAGCATTGAGATCACCGAGGGCGGCTGGTGGGGCCATCAAATGGAGGTGCGGCTGAATAGGTCAGCATGTGGGGTTTAGGGTTTAAGGTTTAGGGTTTAGGGTCAAGGGTCAAGGGTCAAGGGTCAAGGGTCTGCATTTAGGGATTCGGGTTTAGGGTTTAACTATGGTTATTTGGGATGTCCCCCCTTATACTAACAGTCCTTAATAGGGGTTCTAGTACCCCCCCCTTATCATCCCTATGAAGGACTGTTAGTAGAAGGGGGAACATCCCCAAATGGTTAGAACCTGCTTTTGGGGTACTTGTAGCTGATATGTACACCCAGGAACCTTCAAGAGAGGCCATCTTCGGCTTCATCTGAAAGCTCAAACGAAGATGTCCTGACCCCCCAAACCTTTCACAGATGGATATGGTGGTTTTTTTTATAGATATAGCATTCCTGTTTTGTGAACCAATGTAGGTAAAGTAGCAGAACCCCCCCACGCCTCAGTGTGGATCTCTTGTTCGTTTTTGTAACTTTTTTGCTGTGGCGGCTGCGAAGATGAGATTCCAAACCTTCTCCTGATCTCGGAACGATGGTTTTCAATATTGAACATGACTAGGACCCAGAGTAGGCCCTTATTCTCTTTTTTAGGGTGTAGGTTCCCTTATAAACCCCTCCAAACCAAAAAGGGTACCCTTTTGTTCCAAGTTTCTGTTGGGTCCAGATGACGAATCATGAGGCCTACAGTACTCTTTTTGACTAGCAGTCCTTAATAGGGATTGTAGTATCCCCTACTTGTGATCTAAGGGGGAACATCCTACAAACCCCCATAAAACCCTCTTTAAAAAGCCCATAAAACCCCATAAAACCCTATAAAGAACCCATAAAACCCTGTAAAGCCCTGACGACGAATCATGAGGCCTACTCTTTTCGGCGCGCGGCCGACGATCCGGGGCGGGTGCCCCTCACGCAGCTGCCCGTGCGGGCGCTAATGGCCCCACCAGGCCAACGCCAAGCCTTGGGTCCTAAAGCTTGAGCTTAAACTCGTTCGGGTTTCGGGTTTAGGGTTTAGGGTTGAGGGTTGAGGGTTTGAAGGGTTTAGGGTTCTGTAGATCACATGTCTTAAACATCAGACTTCTTAATGCGTAGGGGTACCTTGTTGGGGTAAAGGCTGCGGGTAAGGTCAAGGCTTGGATGAGGACTGGAGCGCCCTAAACCCTGTTTTCCGTCTTTGTGGTGGGGCTTGCGGCCCGTCACTTCCAGGAATGGGATGGCCGAAGTATTTTCCCTGAGCCTGCGGTTTAGGGTTTAGGCGACAGGGTGGGTGTTGAGATCGGAATAGGGTTTAGGGTTTCGGGTTTAGGGTGTTTGGGATTTAGGATTCAGACTCAGGGCTGTGAGGAGTTTAGAAAGACCCAAGGACACATGCTGTCGTCAGTCCCTTCGGCTATGAAGCCCTATGACTGAGCCCTAAACCCCAAAGCCCAACCCTGAGCCTTAAACCCAAAACCCGAAACCCCAAAGCCCTCGACCCTAAACCCTAAACCAAGAACCCTTCAACTCGAAGCCACATCCGGAAGTTTGCCGCTGTAGGCTTCCCGGACTTCTTCTCGCGAGCGCGAGCCTCCACCTGTTCTAAACATGCTTTTGAGGGTTCATGTGTACCTAAGAGTAGGGTTTAGGGTTTAGGGTTTAGCGTTTAGGGTTTGAGGTTTAGGGTTTAGGTTTTAGGGTTGAGGGACAAGTGCCTAAATCTGTTTTGGATTGTCACTCACCAACTCTTGAGCGTGGGTTCATCTGACAATGCTTCTTTGTACGAGTAGTGTGCTCTTGTTTCTGGGTAGTCGCACTGTCCCGCATCGCCTGGCAAGCCACGTTCGGCCTAAGGCTATTGCAGTCGCGCTCTGGGAAGTTTCAATGTTGCGAAAGCGTTTGAAAGCATCAGCGTCCTCCTGGCATCGCGAGACTTCTAGCCAGCACGCATTGAGAAGCTCTGTGGTCGAGTCCTGCTAGCCTTGCCTGGTAGACTTGTTACAGCTACGCCTCGAGAGGGATCATGACAACCGTGCGTATGGGTGGCACTGTGATGCCCTCATCTTTCGTGGATCTGTTTGTTTCCGAAGTGCTTGGTCATCGGGTTCCTATTGCTTACTTCAGTAGGGCATGGGGGAATAAGGTAGCATATATCCCCTATATACCCTTCAAGGGACTTCGGATTACATATGGTACCTTATTCCCCCCCCCCCAGTCCCTACTATCCCGCAGTAAGATAGCGCTTGTATCCCTGCCAAAGTTGATCAGGAGTGGTGGCCCCTGGCGTCCACCGCGTCGTTGGAAAGGCAGGGGTGGCTAAACCCGAAGCCCTTGGCCCTGAACCCTACATCTAGATGTAGCTTCTTTTCTGAATAAACTACATGTCGTTTAGGGTTTAGGGTTTAGGGTTTAGGGTTACGCAAGTTGCCTACTTGCATGAAAGAAGCCACAGACAGACTTGCGGAGAGGGGCAAGCCACCCCGAAAAGGACAACTTCAAGGCATTGAGCACACAGCACGCAGCAAGTTCAAGGCCGAGTTGAGAGGTGCTACTAGGAGCTCGCTGCCGCCGTGCATCACACGACACCAGTTGGCTTCAACCCTAAACCCGTGAGGTCGGAAATGCCGGAGTCATCAGTTTGGGAGAGTAAAACGCAAGGCGCACAAGGTTAAACCTGGAGAAGCCGGAATGTCCATTTGTGGTACCGCTAACTATGGGTTATGGTACCCATGGTACCCAGAAACCCTATTTAGCAGAGTTCTTGGGGGCCGAAGTCCATGAGATGAGCCCCAGAACATTTTGGGGCAATTTCAATCAAAGGGGCAGTCAACAACGTAAAGCGCCTACACGTCCGGAGGCTGAACAACTCAAAACATCCATATCCCACCCAAAGCCCGTCCGCACGCCCCAACCCCATAACCTGCCCCAAACCTAATAACCCCTAAACCCTAAACCCTAAACCCTAAAAATCCCTAAAACCCCGAAACCCTCAACCCTAAAGCCCTAAAGCGACCCTAAACAAAACCCTACGTCCCCGGCAAGGTCTGGGCCGGTGCTGTGGAGATTGACCGTGTGGAGTTCTCAGCTGACCACGGGAAAACATGGGCCACGGCCACCTTGGAGAGGACAGTGAATGGGGGGGGGGTTTAGGGTTTTGGGGTTTTGGGGGTGTAGGGTTTAGGGTTTAGGGGTTGAGGGTTTAGGGTTTAGGGTTTAGGGTTGAGGGGTTTGGGGTTTAGGGGTTTGTGGTTTAGGGTTCAGGGGGTTTAGGGGGTTTTGGAGTTTAGGGGATTACGGGTTAAGGGGTTTGGGGTCCAACACTTAGGGCTTAGGGCATGGGATTTGCGGTTCAGGTTTCAGGGGTTTAGGGGTTGAGGGTTTAGGAGTTTGAGGTTCATGGGTTGAGGTTTGGTGTCCGATAGTCTGGGGTTTGTTCGAGCATGTTGTGTTTGTGTGCGTTTTGTTAGACGGAACTATGGAAGTCTCACGCCCTATACGGGCCCTGAGGATGTATTTGTGATGGTATATGTTGGGTGTTTGAGGAGTGGGGGGGGGGGGATACCAATAATTGGAACTAAACCTCTCTGGTATGGGACCCTGACTACATCACCTTTCTCAAGGGTAGAATTGGGTGGAGACACTATTCCCTATTCTAGTCCTGCAGGATCCCTCATTGAAACCTGCGTCCTGAGAGTTTTTTTTTGGTGGGGCGGGGGGGGGGGGGGGTTGCCTTAGAACAGAGACCATCGCTGTAGAGGTCTGGACCGTTTCGCCCCAGCATAAACCTCCGAACACATCCTAAACCCTAAGCCCTAAGCCCGGCGCCCTAGCCCTAAATTCCCTAAACCCAACGAACCCTAGACACCAAACCTCTTGGAGTCCCCAAGCTTCCCTAAACCCTAAACCCTAAACCCTAAACCCTAAACCCTAAACCCTAAACCCTAAACCCTAAACCCTAAACCCTAAAGCACTTCAAGCCCCTGGACCCAAACAAAAGCCTCCCAGGAAAACCGGCCTATTTGGTTGGGCGACTTGGTACTACGCTTCTCGGCGCTGTCTGTCTGGGGAGCCGGTTGGGGTTTAGGGGTTGAGGCGGTTTAGGGGGTTGAGGGGGTTAGAGGTGGTTTTCTATAGGCTTCCGGGGTTTGCTGTGCTCAGCTGGGGAGTTCCCAAGCCCTAGGAAGTATAAGCGCTATCTGCCCGAACCCCGACTCTCGTGGAGACCCAAAGCCCCAAACCCCGCATCCCTGAAATCCCTAAACCTGAAACCCAAACTCCTGTAAACCCAAACGCCCAATCCCTAAACACCCCCTGGAACCCCTGAACCAAAAGTGCTTAGTAAACCCTAAACCCTAAACTGCCTAGACTACCTAAACTGCCTAAGCCCCCAAACCCCAAACCCTAACCCTAAACCCCAAGCCCTAAACCCCAAACCCCAAACCCTAAACTTTAAACCCCAAACCCTAAACCCTGAACCTCAAACCCTAAACCCTGAACCCTAAACCCTTATAAACCCTAAACCCTAAACCCTGAACCCAAAACTCCAAGGACTGGCAGACTCCTTCGGAGGGCTCCTGCGTGTTGAAGTGCCGGGGCTTTGATGCCAAGGGGCGGAGCCAGGCCGCTTTGAGGGAGGGTTTAGGGTTTAGGGTTTAGGGTTTAGGGTTTAGGGTTTAGGGTTTAGGGTTTAGGGTTTAGGGTTTAGGGTTTAGGGTTTGGGGTTTCGTGTTTAGTGTTTAGGGTTTAAGGATTTAGGGTTCAGGGCTTTGGGTTTACAAGATCCATTTAGGGTGTAGGGCCAGGGTTTAGGATTTAGGACGAGGTGAAGGCTTTTCGGGCAGCACGCCGTAGTGCCCATGTCAGCTGCGGCGGAAGAAGATAAGGCATACGTAGCCTGCTTCTTGGGGCTTGAGTTTCGTGGGGTCAGGGTTGAGGATGGATGATAGTTTTTGTTTGTTGCAGCATGTTACAAGCGACTCTTTCCGGAAAGAACAACGACGTTTCGGCTTTTCCTGCAATCGTACGTCAAAACCTGAGAAAGAACTTCGCTGTAACAACACCCACACAACTTGCGACTTCAATGTCTACGCCAACAGTGCAGCCTTTACTTCAAAGCCCGCAGAAGACCGGTGAGACGAGGCTTGTGCAGCCAAAGGCAAGTTTGTTGGGCCTGGAAATAGAATTAGAGTATACAGTATACCAAGACCAGACGCTCGGTGCGGCCGAGCACCTGAGCGCTGACACTGCCAACAAACAGTAAGTGGAGCCTGGCACATGCACTCGACACCATGGCCTGCTTATGAAGGCAGCATTTGGAAGCCGAAGCCTACCTGGTCTGCTTTCTTAAGGCAATGTCATGGGCTCGGTTGCCCGCGGCAACCTTCGGGCAGAGTTGAATGGGCCTGCTTATTCTGTTGCCTGGCTGAGCCCTGGTTCCTGCACAAACTTATACAGATGAAATCTGTACGGACGGTTGCCCGATTGCCCGCCTCAGCCTCCCTGGCATGCTAACTACGGCAACACTGAACTGCTTGTTCAAGTCAGATTCTGGTAGAGTTGCCCGCCTTTTGTCCTGAACGCTGTGCTGCCTCAAAGCCTAGCGCTATACTGCCTGCTGTCCTGAGCACGTCGCGTCCCATGATGCGTGCCACTTGGTCCTTCGACTCCAAACACCCCACTTGTCGGGTGGGGAACAACACAAACACGGAGCACAACAACTTTCACTCCTCCGAAGGCCCCTTACTTTGAGCGCTACACCCCTAAATCCCACACTCGACTTCAAACGTCTTTCGCGTTGCAGTTCAGGGTTGACCCGTTCCTAAACCCTAAACCCTGAACCCTGAACCCTAAACCCTAAACCCAGCTGACTTTGGCGCAGGACGAGCCTGGCGATGACGAGTTCAACTGGACAGGGATGGGGGACACGCAGCCCCAGATGGTGCAGCCCGAAGCGCAAGTCATTAAACCCTAAACCCTAAACCCTAAACCCTAAACCCTGAACGGGGGATGTACCTGAAGGACAACCCACCCCCTCCAGCAAAGGTATGTGAGGGTGGATCCCGGCGTCAGCACATGCGGCTCTCAGTCGCTCAGCAACCCTTTTTGGTGGGAAGTTCGAGGGGGAGTCGGGGTGTAGAACTCTTTGGGTTTAAGGGGTTTGCTTGGGGTTTTTGGGGGTTTGGGGTTTGGGACCTATCGGGTTTAGGTTCAGGGTATGGGGTGTAGCGGTTTGGGGTGCGGGGTTTGTAACATTGGTGCTCGGGGATGTTGAGGTTTAGTGGGTGAAGGGTTTCGGGAAATGGGGACTCTGGGTTCGGGGGGGGCAGGCCCTAAACCCTAAACTGAAAACAGTGGTTGAGGCCAAGTTTCCCTTAAAACCAAAAACCCTTTTCCCTTGACTTTAAAAACCCTAAACCTAGAAACCCTAAACCCTAAACCCTGAACCCTGAGCCCTACACCCTAAACCCTAAACCCTAAACCCTAAACCCTAACCCTAAACCCTAAACCCTAAACCCTAAACTCAGGATCAACTTGGTCCCGGAGACCAGGGCTTCCAAGAGCGCTTTGAATGTGGCCACGCCCGAGGGCGCAGCTTTGGAGGCTTCTGAACCCCTTCCCATGGAAGGTTTAGGGTTTAGGGTTTAGGGTTTAGGGTTTGGGGTTTGAGGCTTAGGGTGTAGGATTCAGAGTTTAGGGTTTAGGGTTTAGGGGTTTAGGGTTTGTTTTTTGGCGTTTGGGGTTTTCTGTAGGTTTATACTTGGAGGCTCATGGGTACTTGCAGTAGTGTAAAAATTGTAACAACCCTCAAGTGAGAGTCTAGTAGAGCGTAGGCGCGGTCCGTGGGTGTGGAGAGTGTTTGAGGCTGCTGGCTTGGTTCCAGGAGCCTTTATTAGCCCTTATTACCCTTTTGTTAGGGTTTAGGTTCCCTTCAAAGCCGCTTTAGACCAAACAAGTGCACCCTTTTTTGTTCCTAGGTTGCTCTTGGGGTGTAGGTTTCAGCGTTTAGGATTCATGTAGGACGGAGGCTGGAAGCCTTTGTAATGCTAAAAAAGAGGTTCCCGTATTCGCCCCAGGGTGGGCTATGGTCCATGTGTGCTGAAACCAGATTCCAGCAGTTTTGGGGTCTAGGGTTTGGGGTTTAGGGTTTAGGGTTTAGGGTGATCCTGATTGTAGGGTTCATTCAGGCACCAACGCGCCCCCTAGAGCTTGGATCCTCCCGAACCATCAAACCCAATTGGATACGCTTAGTCACTGAGTAGGTAACCTTTTAGCCTTTTGGAGTAGATGTAATCCTACCATAATTGAAAGGTTCTAACGTTTTGGCCCAGGACACTCAGCAACTAGGTACGAGTACCCTAAAAGAGGTTAGAACCACAGTTACACCACTTTTCAACCCTACTTTGTGAGAACCCATGAACCTCCAAGTAAGCCCCACAGTAAGCCCTAAAGTCAGAGAGCCCAGAAACCCGAAGGCCTAAACCAAGCCCCAAGCCATTAAATACCGAAAGGGCCCGAAGCCCCGAACCCGACAGTCGGGTGTTCGGTGGTTCTCGTGTAAGAGAGCCCGAGAAGCCCAATCCTGAACCCCCTTATCAGCCCTCTTGAAATCGTTCCGGGGGTGTGTCTTTCATGTGCAGGATCACCTGGTCGATGCCTTGTGCCGCCGCTGCAGACTTGTGGGCATGATGGGGTTTAGGTACCCCAAACCCTAAACCCTAAACCCTAAACCCTAAACCCTAAACCCTAAACCCTAAACCCTAAACCCTAAACCCTAAACCCTAAACCCTAAACCCTAAACCTAAACCCTAAACCCTAAACCCACCCTAGACCCTAGACCCTAAACCCTAAACCCTAAACCGGGCTCACAAAGCCCAACTCAAGCCCGAAACCAGATGCCTCAAAGCCAAAAGCCCCAAGAATCCCGAGTTTCAGACCCCAAAGCTTGAGAGTCCTCTGAGCCCCCCAAACTCCCCCTCTGGGTCCTACCGAGCCTCAGTTTACTGTGTTGGGCTTCGGGTTTATCGCCTTTGGGGTAGGGGTTTTGAGGATTTGGCTTGACTGTGCCGCCCTGCCAAGCTCCCCAGGTACAGATCACCAGGCAGCCAGTGATGCTCTTGGCAGACTGTGGCATCAGAAGAACTTTTCAACCCCCCCCCCTTCCCCACCCCCCCTAACGCTAAGCCCTCCCCCCCCCCCACCCTGCAAAAAGGGTTCAGGGCTTAGGGCTTACGGGAGTAGGCCGCCTCTCATCACAGCTTTGGGAGTTAGGGTATAGGGTTTAGGGTTTAGGGCCTCCACTGCAAATATACTTTGGTCTGGAGGACACCATCTCTGTATGGGGGCTTACCTGAGTTTAGGGTTTCGGAGGGCTTCTGAACCCGGAGCCCTCTGAGCACCGCCCACACGTCCCACTCCAAAGTGGGTGGCTTAGGGATGATGGGGATTATAGGACGCGCACGCCGATCGCTTTTGCAGCTTCCGCAGACTGCGAGAAGAAAGGGTACCAAATGCAGGCATTTCATGCCGAGCCCATGAGTCGTAGGGTGCCGAGACCTTAACACCTAAACCCTAAACCCTAAACCCTAAACCCTAAACCCTAAACCCTAAACCCTAAACCCTAAACCCTAAACCCTAAACCCTAAACCCTAAACCACTTCGGGGCTTCTTTTGGCGCTCGGGGGCCGAGGGCTGTTCAGGGCTTCGTCTTGGGGTTGGGGGGTGGGAGGTTGGGGGTTTCAAGGTTTCGGGGGCTTTGGGTTTTGTGTTCCAGGCGTTGGGGATGCAAGCTTTGTAAGTCTGCTAGATGCGGTGATTGGGCCACCTCTCACCTGAAGCAAAGTCGTGCTGAATCCTGAGCCCTACAGAAGCCCCAAGCCCTGGACTAAGCTCTTAAGCCCTGAGCCCTCAAGCCCTAAGCCCGAAGCAATAAACCCTTTCAAGATGTCACGGGGGTGGTCCTTCAAATATCACGACGACCTCCTAATGCCGTTCCAGTGGTCCAAGTAAACCCTTACGATAATTACATGGCGGGTTTAGGGTTTAGGGTTTGGGGTTTGGGGTTTGGTGTTTGGGGTTTAGGGTTTAGGGTTTAGGGGGTTTAGGGGGTTTAGGTTCTGAAGTCTTCATGGGCCTGTGGGGCTTTTGGGGTATCAAAGGGGAAATAAGGGGTTCCAACGTTGCGGGTCGATCGCAGCGGCGATCCTTACCAGGAGCAAGGCTGGGACCGTTAGCCTCCAGACCCCCCCCCCCCCCCCAAAACCCGAACCCTAAGCCCTAAGCCCTAAGCCCTAAACCCCCAAGTCCCTTCTGTTAGTGTGCTCGGCTCCCAAAAAAAGGCACTTTGTTTTTTTGACAAAGGGGCTGCCCTTGTTATTCCTAGGCTACTTAGGTGCGGCGAGACCTTGGGATCTACCCTGATATAAGCCCTACAATCCTTTCCGTCAGCTCCGCGCGCACAATTTCAAGCCTCAGAAGTGTTGAATCAGAAAGTGTCAGAATAATTCGAGAATCGCGTTCCCTGACTGACCCTGACTCTGAGTAGATGGCCCCGAACCCAAAGCCCTAAACCCTAAACTCCCCGAAGCCCTAAACCCTGAACTAAACCCGAAACTCTGTAACCCAACAAGATCCGCCCAGGACCTACTATGTCAACGCCGAGACTGGCGAGGCCGAACGTTTTTGTGGGAGCTTCCTATTCCACAAAGGGTTTAAGGTTTAGGGCGTTTAGGGGGTAAAGTTTAGGGGGTAGGGTCTAGGGTTTAGGGTGTAGGGTTCAGGGTTAGGGTTTAGGGTTCAGGGTTTACGGTTTGGGGTTTGGGGTTTAGGGTTTGGGGTTTGGGGTTTGGGGTTGGGGGTTAGGGTTTAGGGTTTCACTAGGGTTCCCCTCCACATCTCAATCTCCGGACCCCGCGACAGACTCGTTGGACACCGCCTGGGAGTCCGCACGACGCCTGGCCCGGGGCCCTGGGGTTTCCATATTTTTTTGCATAGGAGTTTGGGGTTTAGTTCGGGTTTTAGGTTGGTTTAGGGTTTACACAAATCTCGGCCTGGGTTTGGTGTTTAGGGTTTAGGGTTTGGGGTTTTCGAGGTTGAGAGCCGGGGTGGGGGGGGTGTGTGAATACCAAATCCTTTCATTGGCGGGACCAGATATTTGAAAGTGCTCAGAGCTTTACTTACGGCCATGGCTGGACTTACCTAGGTCGCCGTTAAGGAGCTTCAAGTTGCCCTAGACCTGCCCCCAGCCCTCCTCGCCCGAAAGCCCCCCAAACTCAGGAAAACCCATGAATTCAGCCATTTTGGCCTGCGTTGAGGGCTAAACACTAAACTCTCAACCCGCAGCCCTGAACCCGGAACACCCGAAAACCAGCCTTAAACCCCAAGGCCTAGAAGCCCTGACAGTCAAGAAATGATGCATAGCCGGCATAGCCCAGCTTTGCAACTTGACGTCCGCCCGCAGCCCTCAGCCCTCAGCCCTAAACTCAAACTCACTCTACATTTGGACCGTTTTTTATGCGGGGGTTTAGGCCCCTCTAAATCCCATTATTAAGCAAAGAGGACACTCAGTTTTTCCTTAGGTTACTACTCTCAACCTGGGTGGGGTAGGGTTTAGGGCTTGGAATCTAGGATTCAGGGTTTAGGGACCATGTTCCCTTCATGACACATTGTGGTCCCTTACCTTCTTTACAGGATTCTGAAGTATGGGGCCTTGGGTTGTGTAGGGCATTCAGGGGGGGGTATATGTCCCTTTTTAAGGGGCCCATGCTACAGGAACTACCAACCCTAAAACCTAAATCCGAAACCCTAAACCCTAAACCCTACGTGCAGGTTTGAGCAACTTTGCTTCCTCGGAACTGAAGGTCGGGTGATCTGCTGCATGACACTGGGGACGCAGCATCACAGGCCGCTCTTTGGACTCTAGGATCGCCCTGCTTTGGGCATGTTCAAGGGTTTATAGGGTTTAGGGTCTGTTAAGGGTTTATAGGGTTTATAAGGTTCATAGGGTTTATAGGGTTTATAGGGTTTATGGGGCTTTAGGATCGCCCTGCTTTGAGTCTGTCAAGGGTTTGTTAAGGGTTTATAGGGTTTATAGGGGTTGTTCAGGGTTTATAGGGTTTAGGGTGTATAGGGTTTAGGGTC